GAGAGGGGGAAGTCCAAAATTTGAAATGCAAAATAATTTCCTTCGTCATAAATATTAATATTACAATAGTTGCTAATTATCTTAATGTTTAAATCTAAATAATGTACATCAGTATTTGTATAGAAGTGTTCTCAGTCTGTAGAACTACAGGATAAATGTTACTTATGTAATTACTTATTCCTGGATTATTAATATTAATCAAATAGTCAGTATATATGTATATTAAGGAAAATATTTCTGGATTTGAAAAAAAATATTTATAAATTTATTTTCGTAATAATGAAGATATCAATTGGCAACAGAGCTCGGATAATTAGCACCCATCGGTATACCTATTATTTATTTACAAATGTAATTATCAAAATAAATATAATACTTATATACACAAAAACTAAAAATGCTTTTATTTTTATTAGCAGTAAAAGTGTGTTTTTCAATTTCTCTGGGTAGATCTATAAATTCTTCTATCAACGAATTTATCACTATTATTTGTAATGATCTTACATTTCAAATTTTTGACTTCCCTTTCCGAAGAGTAATGTATCAACAAATGCCATACAGAGCATTATTCACTCACAGCTTCTTAGGTATTGTACAATTTGTAGTAATGTACAGTTCTTATCACTATTATTTGTAATGATTTTACAATTCAAATTTTGGACTTCCCTTTCCAAAGAGTAATGTATCAACAAATGCCATACAGGGCATGTATTCAGGAATCATTTCTCAAACCCCATATTAAATTCTGCATACACGGGTATAAACCTGTACGAAAAGATCGAGAACACTCAGCAAAGGGAGGTGTACTAACCCTTGTCAAGAATCACTTGCTCTTTACTACCGTTACTTGCCCAGAAAATATAGAAGCTGTTGGGATTCAGTGTCAGACTTCTATGGGAAGTGTCACGATATTTAACATTTATAACCCTGGTGTTGCCATTGATCCGGTTGAGTATCGAATTTTTTTTTCTTCCTAATATATACTTTGTGGAGATTTCAATGCTCACAACCCGTTATGGGGTGGAACAAAAACTGACTATCGAGGTCAGATTCTCGGTGATCTAGTTATGGAATCTAATAAAGTGGTTTTAAACATCGGACGTGGGACATGTCTGGTTCGGGATAATCTCTCTCCTCTAGATCTCACTATTATAGACAGTAAACTTGCTACCTGGGATGTTCTGGATGATGACCTGAGAAGTGATCATCTCCCGGTCATTACATCTCTTAAGATCCCTCTTGAAGTTAGGAGTACAACGACCTGCTGGAACTTTACCAAAGCAAACTGGCCTAACTTCCATATGTTCCTTGATTCTTCCGTTCAAAACATAGAAATGTCTTCTTCTGTTGGATCTGTACATTCTCGTATAGTAACTATTATTCTGGAAGGAGCAGAGAAATTTATTCCACTATCAATCACAAACTATGGGAAACAACAAACCCCTTATTGGAATATGGAATGTGAAAAAGCAGTTAAACAAAAACACAAGAGTAGGAAGAAAGCTCTTAAAACACGTCTCTTAGACGATTATATCGAGTATAAAAAGCAGAAGGTCATTTGTCAACGTACAATTCGAGAACGCCAACAACGTTTCTGGCGTAATTACTGCTCTACTTTCAACCGTTCTTCAAATTTAAGTAAACTATATAAATTCGTAAAGCGATTGAAAGGTGGGGTTATATCTGTATTCCTACCCTTAAATCTCTTGGATCAACATATTTGACGGATGTTGAAAAAGCAAATGCGCTATCTGATCAATTTGCCCACGTCAGCAGTTCCGATAATCATTCTCCCGAATTTTTACCGCATAGAAAATTGTTTGAACATGAACATTAGTTTTTAGTCGTCTTTATTGCTCGGTTAAGTTCACCGATCGTGAATTGAGCGTTCAACCCATTACTATTGTTTGGCTTCTTTGTAATGGTGGCATCGGCCCCTGGTGACGATCAAGTTCCTTATAAAATCTATAAAAATCTGTCGCTCAGTTTTTTGGTAAAGCTGCTGGAATTTTTCAATAAAGTGTGGAATGAAGGTACCCTCCCTTCAGCCTGGAAACACGCCATAGTTTGTCCAATCCCTAAGCAGCAAGGATCCCAGTTTGGTTACATCGTATCGACCAATTGCTCTTACTTCTACTATGTGTACAATTATGGAACAATTGATTGCATACCGTTTGAATTGGTATTGTGAAAAACATAACCCTTTCGATCAGTTTCAGTCTGGTTTCCATTGGAAGAAGTCTTCGCTTGATCATTTGGTACGCCTACATGAAGATGTCAACAGATCATTGTGCAACAGAGGTAAGACAGTGTCTGTGTTCTTGGATATTGAAAGAGCATACAATATGGTCTGGAAAGAAGGATTGTTATATAAACTCAATAGTTACGGTTTTGATGGCTAACTCTTCAACTGGATTAAAGAATTTCTTTCAGACAGATCCTTTAAGGTCAGAATAAATGGTGTTATCTCTGGGGAAAGATTCTGCGAAAATAGCACTCCCTAGGGTAGTGTTATTAGACCTATTTTGTTCCTTTTCATGATTAATGACGTTAGTTCTTCCTTTATTAGTAGTGGCACGAATTATAGTATTTTTTGCTGGTGATTTAGCCCTCTGGAAAACTGGTCGTAATATTAATCATATCCAAACCTGTCTTCAAACAAATCTAGATAATTTAGCCGATTGGTTTTTTAAATGGGGCTTTACGGTTTCAGCCCTAAAGTCTGCAGATCTTCCTTTTTTCTCGTACTTCAAACACAGTGAAATTAAGTCTTAATAACCACCATTTAGCCTCAGTCACCCAATACAAATTTCTTGGAGTTATCTTTGATTCCAGATTAAATTGGACGCGTCATATCACCTATGCCTCACAAAAATGTGCTAAAACGACTCAATTTGCTTAAATGTGTGTCCGGCACACGTTGGGGAGCGTCCAAAAAGACTTTATTACTTATGTATAAAACCTTAATACGATCCGTTATTGCCTATGGCAATATCATCTATGACTCTGCTAGTTACTCAGTCCTTAAACAACTGGACGTTATTCAAAATCAATGCTTACGATCATGTTGTGGAGCATTGAAACACACCCCTATATCAGCCATGGAAGTACACTGTGGTGTCCTACCCCTTGAATTACAGAGACGGAAGATACAACTCAAATTTATAGCAAAGTCTTTGTACTACGATTAATTTCTTTCAAAAGGAATGGAGGGAAATAACTCACCAATGTCAGTTAAAACTGCAGACTTTTTCTCGTCCGTGAAACTCCAGAACGTTGCTAAATAACAATATTTTCCCTTTCTTCCTTGGGAGATTCCAATCCCTGATGTCGACGTCACTCTACATTATGTTGGAAAAAAAAATGGAAGCAAATTTACTTGCTTTTGTCCTTGGCTAAGGAATAACTAGCAGGCTTCTATGACTATACATGTATATTTACGAATGGCTCCAAGTCGACAAATTTTAATTCCTAGGCATTTTATATCAAAAATCTCAACATCAGAAAAGCATTTAAAACTGCACCTGCATCTGTATATAAGGCCGAACTGTTTGCTATCCTACAAGCACTTATACGGCTAGAAGATTCAGATGTTACGAAAGCTCTGATAGTTAGTGAATCTTTAAGTTCATTAATTTCGATTAAGAACGGTTCCTTTTCATCTAATCCAATGTTACTGGGTGAAGTATTTACATACCTTGTCCGTTTATGCCCCCGTCTTGTCATCAAATTTTTCTGGGTCCCTAGCCATGTGGAAATCCAGAGAAATGAGGTTGTTGATCGTCTTGCCAAGGATGCGTTAACATATCCTGGGGTCACAAACGTTTCTGTTGAAATTGGTGACCTCTCTTGCCAAGTCGATAAATTCATTTTAGATTCCTGGCAGTACAGATGGAATTCAGTGAAACAATCAAATATATACAAGAAAACTGTTCCTGTTGTTTCTTCTCACATCAAGTAAGCATGTACGAATAGACGCCAAGAAGTTATCATAACACGTCTCCGTTTTAATTGCACATGTCTAAATGGACATCTCTACAAAATTAAAGGAGCAATGGCTGCATTCACCATTGGAATGTGAGATTTTGAAGATCCGGAACAGATTATCATGGATTGCATATACTACCAAAGAGATCGAGCAGCCATAAAACAACAGATGTGTAACGTAAATGTCCTCTTACCTACCTCTTTCTGTTAACTACTGATTGCCTCTATACAGCGATTTATAATTCTTAATAACTAAAGACCTAAAAATCTAATGTCCCTTTCTTTTACTAATAGGGCTATTTCTTTTTATCTTTGTTTCAAATGGCTGGAGTCGCTCCCAGTCGAGAAGTACTAACTACGTAACCCTTTTTTTAATAATCATATCTTTTACAAATAATTGTATGTGTTGATTATCCTGACGTATTTGTATTTACCAATTGTTCTTAACGTAATCAATTAATCATACGTATTATATTTTATTACAATAACACTAACTCATAACATTATTAGTACAACCCAATTAAATACAAGAAAAAAAATACTAATTTATACTTAATGATAATTAATAAAATAAATGACGAGAGGATCTAGTTCTACTAGTTGAGATCAGTGAAATTGGGGGCATATCATCTGCTGATGATAAAACAACAACAACAAAAAAAACTTTTGACATGTATTGTTGTGGTATGCCTTGGAAGTTATGTTCACACTTTAAGTAATCTTCTTGTCTTTAATCCGAGGGGGCACAATGAAGAAAACAGGTTCAGTTTTGTCTTGGTTAATCTGCATTATTATTTTGTGTTGTCACATTTTATCCGTAACAAATGGATAGAATAGCAGTTTAGTAGCGAGGTTTTGCGTCACAGGCATCACCTGCATTTCCCATTGGTAACTGTGTGTATACGTTTGAACGCTCCCCCATACGGAAAACCCATTCAAAACTGAAGGTGCGCCGATCTCATGCGCGTGCAGTAACTAATAGTGAACTACTTTAAGTATTTGGTCAGCTTGCTTTTAGGAATGTTTTAAAGATAAACAGTGGTAAAATATATGGTGGTAAACATCCTCCTGACGCATGAATTGTGAGTTTAAAACAGACGTAATTATTTGCTTTGCGCGTATTCATAATGAGTGAAAGTAATTCGCTTGTGCTTAATACTAGTAATATGCAGAAGGTTCGCCACTGTAATAAATATGATGGAAAGATTGCGGGTTTATACGACTTGGGAGATGCAATAGGACGCGGCCATTTTGCAGTTGTTAAACTGGCAAGGCACGTATTTACTGGTGAGAAAGTAGCCGTTAAAGTAATCGACAAAACAAAACTAGACGAAGTGTCTCGTGCTCACCTGTACCAAGAGGTGAGATGTATGAAATTAGTACAACATCCTAATGTAGTAAGACTTTATGAAGTCATAGACACGCAAACAAAACTTTACTTAATACTAGAGCTAGGAGATGGGGGGGACATGTATGATTATATTATGAAAAATGACAAAGGAGTAGATGAGGATACGGCAAGGAAATTTTTCCAGCAGATTGTTCATGCTATATCTTATTGCCATCGACTTCACGTAGTGCATCGTGATTTAAAGCCAGAAAATGTAATTTTTTTTGAGAAATTGGGGATGGTGAAATTAACAGACTTTGGCTTTAGTAACAGATATTACCCTGGACAGAAGCTAGAAACATCCTGTGGATCTTTAGCATATTCTGCACCAGAAATTTTATTAGGTGATATGTATGATGCACCTAAAGTTGGTGAGTAATCATAGAATCTTAAAAACTGAAACTAATACTTGAGTGTCAATCTGCCCCATTTAGCTTTTTAAAAAGTAAATACATTTTAAATCCATATTTTCCAATGTGTAAGACACACTCATTAATTTTAAATTTTTTTCTTGCAGAGTTGTTAGTTTCACTTTCAGTTTTGAAAATATTCAATCTGGTTATTGTAAGTAAAATGTCATACTTATATGACAAGAAAAAAATTATCTTTATATGAAAATTAATAAAAAGAATTGACAGTTATAGCAATAGTATATACTTTTTAATGAAATGAACAGAGTAAAAATAGTTTGTTTAATATTAAAGATCAAGAAATTGTTTTTAACCAAAAGAGTCTGGAGGTGCATTAATTTAGAACTGATTTTTACCTCAGGATTAACAGGAATTATTTCTATCTTTATAGCTTTGTCATGAGGGTTTTCTTTTCCTTGTGGATAACAGGCAAATTTTGGTTCTGAAATATGTTTTATTTTACCTTGTTTTACTGTTTATTATGTCTTTTAACCCTTGTTAATAACCACCAGAATTTTTCTTTAGGACAACAGTTGACTCAGGCTTAATATCTATTTGTAAACAAAAAATTTAACTTATTTATAGGGAACGTTTAATTCTTGTAAGGAACTGTTCTCATGATATTTGTAAATAAACTTACATTAAAAGACATTTGATTTGATGATCAAGAATGTTGACCATTGAATATTCCCATAAGAGAAATTGCTTTGAGTTGTCACTTATTTTATAGAAACATTGTAGTGCCTTTGAAATCAATTGCAACTTTCTTGTGTATAAATATATCAACTATATGTTTGATGCACCTTCATATTAACATGATAAGTAAGTAACAGTTAAGGCTTGGCTACATCTTTCACATAAATGAAAAACAGTCTGGATACAAGTTTTTTCCAGAAAGAAATACTTATAAACAGAGATTACAGTGTTACTGGGTAGTGTGACAAAAACTATGCCAACCAAGGATTAATTTGGCAGATTTTATTGAATTACAAAATTTATTACAAAAGATATTGTATGTGTATAGAAAAAAGGTAATGAGATGACTTGGAATCAAAAGCTTTTGTCAGACTTGCATTCTTTGTTCACAGAATATACTACTACACCTTACTACTTTGTATCTGTATACAGTGGGCTCATTTTTTAATGTGGTATGAAATGATGACACACTGCCCTCAAATTGCTGGATCAAGAAACTGCTGTATACAGATGTATATACAGATGGCACTTGCAGCTGCAGTGCTTTTTCAGTGATGTGAAATCAGAAGGCAAGCATGTAGAATGTGTAATCCAAGGGATTATATATATCTATCTAATCATACATAGTGTAGCATTTAGGCTGATGTACTTACAAGCCATTCTACTTGCACCTCAAAGAAATTTTAGTTTTCATACCAGTTGCACAATCCATTGTTTTACCTTTCACATGTAGAAAACTTTACAGAAACTGTAGGTTTCAGTTTTGAGCATGAGTTTAATGACAAGATGGTGATGTGTTGTGTAACAACATATCGTAACTGATTATACACATTAAATAATTTGAATACAAAAAATAATAGAAGAAAATAAACATTATGTAATGCAAATTAAATCATACATATTAAAACAGGTTTACATCAAATGAAGAATTGTGTTATTTAGAGATAGAAGAAAAGTTCTTTTGTATCAGAAGCCCAGCTTCATTCTTAGCTATTGAGATTTTATCTACCAATACAGAATATCCAATCTCTTTCTCTCAAACTTTAAAATCCTCTCAGCAGCTAAGTATAAAATTGAATTTCTGATAAAAAGAGATGTTATACATAAAAAAAAAATCTTCTGCCTCAAAATAATACATATTCTTCATTTAATTTAAATGCATTATGTTTTGTTCATTTGCTCCTGATTATACACAGTTTGCCTAGCTGGATCTAAAATATTTCACAAAGTTTTCTTTAACTATACATACCACCTTAAAAACTTGATGTTTTTGGACAAACAAGTTTCAGAATAATAGAGCTGCTTTGTTTGATTTACAAATTAAATATTTTTTTGTACTTTTTTTAAAAGCAGCTTCAGTAAAACTGAAACCAGTCAATAAATACAAAAACTGTAGCTTTAACTTAATTCAAACATTTTTATCCATTGTTTCAGAAAAGGTTAAGGTACTGAAACCATTTCAAAATGGTGTAATAGAAATCACTTGACAGAATTTTGAAAAGATCAATCTGAAGGCCAGAAAAAATATTAAGGGGTGCCAAGCAAATGTTGTCTAGTCTAGACCAACTCTACCAGTAGGTCTTGAAATATAAGGATATTGCTCATTAGGCTCTGATCTGTAAGACATTATGCTTTTGTAAACCTTGAGCTTCTTTTAAACCTTTTTTTTTAAATACTCAAAATATAGAAACATTTTTATACTCAACTTTTATCAAAAACAATTTATTTTAACTTTATAAAGATACACTATTGGTGCTCCAACATTTTTTAAGTTCTTCCAAACAAACTTGCTATGAGATATTTTGTAAAGGGAAAAGACAAGTACTGTCGTTTTTAATCGTATCTTTCACTAAACCTATGCTCTTTTGTTTTTCTCTCTCTCTCTCTCTGTAAATATTGATAAGCTTATGGTGTGAGTAAGTTATATGTACTGTATGACACCTATCTGTCAGTTTTGATAAACGTAGATAGAAGTTACACCATTATGATAACATACTCTGTTATTCGACTGTAGTTATATGTATAGAAGTAACATTAGGATAGTGTACTGGCATGTTTTATCCAACTGTAGATACATGTATAGAAGTTACAACGTTAGGATAGTGTACTATCATGTATTATCCAACTGTAGATACATGTATAGAAGTTACAACGTTAGGATAGTGTACTATCATGTATTATCCAACTGTAGATACATGTATAGAAGTTACAACATTAGGATAGTGTACTATCATGTATTATCCAACTGTAGATACATGTATAGAAGTAACAACATTAGGATAGCATGCAGACATGTTTTATCCAACTGTAGATACATGTATAGAAGTTACAATGTTAGGATAGTGTACTGTCAACATGATAGTACACTATCCTAACGTTGTAACTTCTATACATGTATCTACAGTTGGATAAAACATGTCTGTATGCTATCCTAATGTTGTTACTTCTATACATGTGTCTACAGTTGGATAATACATTTTATCCAACTGTAGATACATGTATAGAAGTTACAACGTTAGGATAGTGTACTATCATGTATTATCCAACTGTAGATACATGTATAGAAGTTACAACATTAGAATAGTGTACTATCATGTATTATCCAACTGTAGATACATGTATAGAAGTAACAACATTAGGATAGCATACAGACATGTTTTATCCAACTGCAGATATATATATATATATAGAGAGAGAGAGAAGTAACAACGTTAGGATAGTGTACTGGCATGTTTTATCCAACTGTGTAGATATATGTATAGAAGTAACCATATCCTGGTAATGTACTTCTATGTTATTCAACTGAATATATATGTACAGAAGTGCCATTATAATGTAGTATTCTCATGTTATCAAACTGTGTGTGTAATATACAAGTAACAATATGATGAAAATATGATATCCAAATAAAATGTACTAACAGTATTATGATGATGTACTTCATATTGTGTATGTATAAAAAAAAATCCTGATATACATAGCAGACTAATGGTGACTTATGTGCCTTGTAGTCTTAAACTGTGTTGTAACTTATTACAAGATAGTTATATAGCATCTTGACAAGAAGTTCACATCATCTCTTCTAGGATGTTACTGTTTCTCTCTGGCAAGTAATCAAATGTATACATATTTTAAATTTAGGCTCCTTTATGAAAAATTGAGATTTGCTATGTTGATATGGTAACTAACTATTTTCTAAGAAATTATTCAAGAGTTAGTCTTCCATCAATGTAAAAGGAAAACTGTTAAAAATATCTACAAATCACTTTTCATCATTACAAAAACTACTGCTGAGCTTATAGACAAAGGCTTTATATAGTCTGAGTTGCTATTGAATATCTGGTATCCTTATCTTGCCAATATGTTGTGGTGTTATATCAACCATGATTTAGTAATATCCAGTCTTCTGTAATTGATTATATCTAAAATATTAGATCTCAGACATCTGTAACAGATTCCAATTTGAATGAAAAACCTGACAAATCCCTATCTTTATTATTATAAATGGAAACATTCTATTTAATAAAAACATAATTTTGTATCCAAAGATATTAATTACTAGGATTAATTATTATAATTATAGTTGAAAATATAAAGAGTTAAAGTACACAACTGATGTTTCAGTGTATTTCAACTGTTATAGGTTTGTTTTTTGGTTTATAGTATTAAGTATTTGTAGACAGTTTGTAATAATTTGGGAACTTACAAGTTACATATTATATTAATTTAGCTCTGATCTGTATACTTAGTTTACTTTTTGATCAGAAGTTTGTAATAAATATCTTATTTCAAGATGTGTTTATCTCTCTCAACAAAGCTGTATTGGATGTATAGCCTTCATTTTAAATGTAATATGCACATGCATCTGGATGCAATATTTATACATATGTGTTTTAAGTTTATGACAAATGTTGAGATTATCCTTTCTATTCTTGGACTAAAATTTTCCTAGTTACACATCAGAAAAATTTAATTTAATTTCTTTGATGTCTAGATTTTCTAAATTACACTTAACTTCGTGTGATGCATAATTTTCAAACAGTTTAGGAAAAAGGATACATTTCACAACTGTCTTTTTTTCCAAAATTTTAATTTTGAGGTTTCAACAAATTTTTATTATCAATTTATCCCTTATCATGTTGTGCTTAACAATGGTGACATATAACATAAGTTATCAAAAGTTGTTCCTGTACCATAGTAAGTTATGTCTAGTGTCACAATACCTGGTTTAGGATGGTATCAAAAGTGATTCTTATACCTTAGTA